GGGGGGGGGGGAACAAAACAGGAGACACTAACAGCTGTGCTGGGCAACCCTGGACATGTTGAGGGACAACAGCCTAGGTGTCTAGCCACCACAGGGTCCTCCAGGGCAGGGAGGGAGGAAGGGGACATGGCCAGGTGAAAGCAAGGTGGACCTGTGAGCCCAGGGGAACAGCTACAGGAAACCATTACTTAGACACCAAGGAAAGGAAGAATGAAAGGTATGCTCATACTTTGTATCATTCCAATTCACATTCAACCAATGTTTATTGAGAGCATAAAATATGTCAGACACTTTCATATGCTTATCACACTTAATCCTCATAACCACCTTGTAAGGGAGCTATCATTAGTGCTATTTTAACAAATGCAAAACTGAGGCTAAGGGAGATTAAGTGGCTTATTCACTGCTCCCCAGATGATAAGGGCAGAAGGAATTCAGGCATGCTTGATCCCATCTGGAACTTTCCCCACTGCACCAAGCCACCTCTATAAGAGGGTGAAGGGAAACTTGGCCACACACACAGCATCAGGCTATACCCAACAGGCACAGCCAGCCAGAAGGGAGGGAAGGGAGAGAAGGCCCCAGAGGTGACCTGGCCCTTTCCATGACAGCAGTGCTAGGGTTCTCCCTGAGGGGTTAGAGAGAAGCGTAGAGGGGAGGAGGCTAGAATCAACCCAGGGCTTTCCCCTAATGTTCCCTGTGAGTGCAGGAGGACTTCCAGGAACAGGACAGAAGCACAACAGACTGCCCCTGCCCCAGAGGGACACAGGAAAGGGCCTTCAAGTTCAAGCCAGATAAGAAGCCCCCAATGATGCATCTTCTAGACAAGGGCACAAAGGGTTGGGGGGGAGCCTCAGCCAGAGGAATGGGAAGGATTAATCCTGCTTGGAGTGTTTACACTTTGGTTACTGGAGCTAAGTCCTTCGTGGCAGGCCCCATTTACGTGCCTCTCAATCTAACAACTCCCACTGTGGCCAGAAAGGGAACTTTCCTACTGAGATGTTGTCCTACTCAGTCTATCTTCTCAGGCTTTTTCCAGGACTTGCGGGTTTCCAGGAAGATCTTGACCAGGGACAGGAGGATGGGCACAGCCATAGGCAGGAAGAGTGGGATGTAGATGGCAAACTTCTGGTCGTCAGGGAAATAAAGGAGGTGGAGGAGCGAGGGATCAAAAAAGGCACGCTCCGAGGACGTCACAGCTTCCTGGCTGGCAGTGAAGGCAGAGGCCAGGTGCCCAGAGGCTAACTCCTCTGCCGCCTTCTGGACTGCAGCTACAGCCCTGTACACCTAGGAAGGGGGCAGGGGATTACCATTAAGTCCCAGGCATCAGTGAGGTGTTGGGGTGGGAGGAAGGATGGGCCTTACTTTGTCTTCCACCTACCAGGCAGGTTGCCTGGAGTTCGCCCAGGATATGGAGGCCAGTATAAAAGGGCTATGGTATATTTTCTTAGCGCCTGCCTAAAACCTCACACCCCATCTGGAGTCCTGCTGGGGAGCTGGCACTGCCCTCTAGAGGAAGCTTGGGGGACTCAAGGACGGTATGCCCACACACACCCTGGACCTCAACTGGCTCTCTGGTTTCACCATACCCTGGTCCTCGCTGGCCACTCCAGTTACAGCACAGAATCCATCCTGCGCCCACTCACCTCAGACGCCACATCGTCCTTGATGACAATGTTGCTGATCTTGCCCAGAAGCTGGGCCAGGGAAGTGAGAGTGGTAGTGGCTGTGGCCAGGTTTTCCACTGACCGAGCCCAGAGCAGCCGGTCAAGCTCCCAGGTCGTTAGCCCTTCACTCTTAGGCCCTGAAAACAGGCATTTCACAGGCAACTGGGGCTGAGCAATCCCAAAGAGCAACCTGTGGGAAGAGCAAAGTAAGGTCAAAGGGGCTGAGAGTAGAAGATGGCTATGATCCCTTGAATGATGACTAAGATTTTCCATCTTACCCAGAACCACAGGAGTCATAGGGAAGTACCTCAGGGTCTCAGGGGGTGAGTGGCAACACTCAGTAATACAGAGCCACAAGCCCCCCTTTGAAAACCTGTGTTTTTGCTCTTACCTGTTTCTGGATTAGATTTCCACGATCTTGTTTGAAAAAAAGGTCCCGTGGCTACAATATGTCTGATAACACCAACCTAGTTTAATCCCCTAACCCTGTCTACCGTCTCTTTGGACCAATGGGACCACTGAGCCTTTAGTTAAGGGATGATCCAGGACCACTTCTGATAAGCCTGTGTGTTGTCCCTCTCTAATCCTGCACCCAGGGCAGACATTGCTAATCAATCAGAATCCTCTTTCCTAATGATCCCAGACACAGCCGTAGAATCCTCAGTCTAGGGCATCCAGCAGCCACTACCAGCCTATCAGTTACCAGGAGAATTAACAGCTATTTTCTTAAGTAGCCCTATCTACATCCTATGGACCTGACATTCGGGAGTCTGTTTTCCTTTTCTCTTTTTTAAGTTTATTTACTTTGAGAGAGAGAGCGAAAGAGAGAAAGAGGACACACGTAGGGGAGGGGCAGAGAGAGGGGGAGAGAGAGAATCCCAAGCAGGCTCCGTGCTGTCAGCACAGAGCCCGACACAGGGCTGGATCCCATGAACCAAGACCATGACTTGAACCGAAATCAAGAGTCAGATGCTTAACCGACCAAGCCACCCAGGCATCCCAGGAGTCTGTTTTTTTAAAACAGTTTTTGTCAGCAACTAGTCCTTCTTACGAGGAGGATAAAATGATTCTTCGAAACCCTTCTTGGTTTCCCTGGGGCTCTAGGCCCAGCCAAGGTATCCCTGCCAGGTGAGATTTCATTCTAGTCAGCTCAGAAGACTCGGGTCAGATTCAGTGGCCACACCCCCAGGGAGATGAGCCAGGAACTCACCGCAACTGAGCCAGGAACACCTCCATCACTTGCTCCATGTCCACTTCAACCCTCACCGGCAGCTTCGAGGCATTGTAGGCTTTGGGGTCCACATTGTATACCTGCAAGGGGAAATAAGGCTGCCCGAACACCATGCCAGGACCGTGAACGACTCTGCTCTAGACACTCCGGAGGCCATGAGAGAAAAGGGAGACATATTCTGTGCTCCTTAGAAATTACAAACCTGATGGTATAGCTAATATTTTTTGAATACCGGCTACTAGGAGCTTTTCATAAATTATCTCCATTATCCCCTCAGAAGACCCGTAAAAAATATTTATTCCATTTTAAGAGTTCCTACCTATGAGAAACTCCCAGTCTAACAGGAGAAGTTGTCATTCATACAAGACTCCCATAAATAGGGCCAAGATCTAAGATGTACACATGGAAAAGTCCTCAGTGAGTGCGAACCGCTACATGCCAAAGGGTCACATTACAGAAAACTTATAGAAATAAGAAGCTGTGGGGCCGGCAGAGTAGGGGCACAAGCTCATAGCACCCTCACCAACTTGGTGCGGCCCCTCCCACAGGCTGGGCCATGGAGGACACTAGAGGAACAACAGAAGGAACAGTCTCAGGGAACATGTGTCTGTCCCTAAAGCCGGGGCTCTGGGGTCTGCAGAGTGTGACCGTTACCATAATGCCACCCCAACGGGGACTATGGAAGGCGTTGGTGGCCACTGGAGCGCCGTCCTTGTCCTGAATGTACAGGGGGGAGTGGGCAAGCTCAGGTACGTAGAGCAGAAAGTTGAGCACAGGGTAAAGGGAGGCAGCACTGGATCCTAGGGTAGAAAGAGAAGGCAAGTCAGAATACCAAAACACGCTGGACCTAGATCTTCGTTCCAGGTCAGCCTCTAACTTGCTGGTCACTCACAGTGGGCCTCATTTCCCCCAACTGAGAGTCCCCAGAATATCCTCCAGTCTGGGGTTTCTGTGATCGAAACCTCTGAACATTCTCCCGAGATGGGCCACACACATGAAGCAGAGTCCCTAGCCCCCTTGTCTGTCTAAGACCACTCTCTCGGGCCCTGCCACATCACACCCATATAACTATAACCCATTTTATAGACAGGTATACATATGACCTCATGTCGGCTCCCTCTTAATATCCTTCAATAGCTAGCCAGTCACACCAGGTAAAAGTCAAGCCACTTAACATGGTCCTTATGATCAAGCACCTGCCTGCCTTGCCAGCTTTGTCTTGGTCACTTCCTCGCAATTCAGCGACACTATGCTTCTCTGAGCTTTCCGAATGCCTATCCGTCTTACTCTTCTACATCTAAGCTCAGAGTTCCCTTGCCTGGAATGCCTTTCCATCTCTGCATTCAGCACTGGTAGAGGGAATGAGGGAGAAATCACACACAGCCCTTCCCATATCTTGGTCCACACTGGCCTAGCCTGGGTGCCTGAAATCCCACAACCCGTGATATACTGACTTTGGTTTGTCTGTATTATACTCTGTGGTCACCTATGCTTCCTAGGTACCATCCCCCAAATGAAAAACTGGAACCCCAGCTTCAAACCTCAGTCAGAACTGTCAATCCAGATTCTGCCTTTGTGTACTTTTGCTGTTATCTTTCCTACATGTGTGACCATATTTTTCCTGGCTGGCTTGCAAAGAGGGAAACACAGCCTATCCATTCGTTTACAGAAAGCAGTGGGAGTCATGTTTAATAAACGTTTTTGGATACGATAGCGTGGGGTTGGGAGATGTCAACAGAGTCTCATGAAGAAGCCTAAATGCCCAGTACTTCCTTAATGCCCTCAGACCACCCAACCTGGGAACCAGAACCATATACTCCCAGCCTCCAACTCCACACTGAGCCTTCAGGGTCCTGCCAAGCCTAGCAAAGAGGCCCTCATCCTTAGCTCACCCAGACGGGACTCCACTGGATTGATGACATGGGGGAGGCTATGTGCGGCCAAGTAGTAGCTAGAGGAAGCTGGGTCAAAGCGTGGGTTTACCCCCAACACTGCATAGTAAAGAATCTGTAAAGCAAAGAAGGAGAACATTCCTTTGTTTATTGGTTCATACTCCACTCTGTCCCAAAAGTTTTGAAGTGCCTTAAAAAAGATACAATAAGGGGCGCCTGGGTGGCGCAGTCGGTTAAGCGTCTGACTTCAGCCAGGTCACGATCTCACGGTCCGTGAGTTCGAGCCCCGCGTCGGGCTCTGGGCTGATGGCCCAGAGCCTGGAGCCTGTTTCCGATTCTGTGCCTCCCTCTCTCTCTGCCCCTCCCCCATTCATGCTCTGTCTCTCTCTGTCCCAAAAAATAAATAAACGTTGAAAAAAAAAAAGATACAATAAGCACAGG